CACCTCGACCACAGAGTGCGAGGGGCCACCTGGTCGCACGAGGCAAGCGAGGTCATCCGACACCTGCAAGCAGAAACACTCGTCAAGAACAACCAAGACACACGAGACAATGGTTACGCTGTTCCTCCACCATGGAGCCCTCCACCAGCCACACTCAAATTTACCGACCTAGGCGATAGTAAAGCCAACCTCCAGAAGGAGGACCTCAAAAAAATAACTCTCGAAGCCATAGCCACCGAGACACCGGCTGATGCAGCATCATACTTCACAGACGGCTCGGTGGACCCAAAACATCATAGATCCGGAGCGGCCTTCTACACCCAAGGTCAGACCCTCCAATGGAGACTTTCCAATGACTGCTCCACCCTACAAACAGAACTGGTAGCAATCTCAAAGGCCCCACAACACGCTGCAACACAACACAACAAGTCCATCATAATTCACACGGACTCGAAATCGGCCATGCATGCGCTGCAACACAGTCAACCAAGAGACAACGTCCACATCATCACCTCGATCCTCGCACAGCTACAGGAATTCCAAAGCCAAAACCGACCAGTCGTCTTACACTGGATTCCCAGTCATGTAGGGATCGGAGGAAACGACGTGGCAGACGAAGCAGCCAAGGCAGCTACACGTTCTAGTAGCGTCCTCCCTGGGCAGGCGTGGCCGTATTTATACAATTTACCAGGATCAGGATCTGGGGTGCGCGTAGCGAGATGACCAATCACAGCGGCTCAAGCGTAAGGTGTGAAACGCTCTGATCCTGAACTGGAGGTTGATGGTCGAGACTAGGTCGGCGATCGTACCCCTACGTCCTCTGCATAGACCTAGTCTCTCGGCGTAGCTGGCTGTACGCTGATTGGCTGGTCGGAGTGCGGCCGGAGCTCAGCTGGAAGTTGTAGGGGAGAGTAGCCACTACACCCCCGTACCCCACAACTGTAAGTGTCCAGCCAGGGAGGTGTAGGAGAGCGACCTACACGTCCGACCAGCGTTCAGGAAGAGATTGGTCAACACACCAAAGACATATATATAAAGATATAGTTATTGAGGACTTGTACTACAGTTGAAGATCACCTGAACCTTTAGCTGATGTTACAGGGTCGATTACTACAGCATCCAGGCGTCGTCTGTTGACGTCACTCACACGATGGCGTCACTTCCTCGTTGAGTCACTCCTTCATATCGTCAGTGGCGCGTCATCCGATGTTGACGAGTGCAGTTGTTGAGGGCAGTCACGTTGCTTGCTGTCTCATTAGGCACTACTGAAGAGTTCTTCATACATTGTTGATGGTGATCAGCCGTCTGTCTCCAAGCTTGGGCGTGCGCCAACTGACTGTGGTAAAAGTTAATGATGTGCTGACACGGCTGGCTACCACTGCACCAAACTCTTAACTCGTACAGTTAAGGGTTGTAGGGGTTTACTTACTGGATCACTCTTGGTGATAGTACAATTGTACCTCAGTGATGCAACATGATTTAACTGCTTTACTGTATGTATGTATGTATGTATGTATGTATGTATGTATGTATGTATGTATGTATGTATGTATGCATGCATGTATGTATGTATGTATGTATGTATGTATGTATGTGTGTGTGTGTGTGTGTGTGTGGCGAAAATGATTCTGGGACTTAGAAACCTTCCATATCAGGATAGGTTAAAGAAACTAAACTTGCATTCCCAAGAAAGACGAAGAGTGCGGGGAGATATGATAGAAGTATTCAAGTGGGTGAAAGGAATCAATAAAGGGGATATAGATAAAGTTCTTATAATATCCGAGCAGGATAGGACTCGGAACAACGGATTTAAGTTGGATAAGTGTAGGTTTAGGAGGGAGATAGGAAGGAACTGGTTTACAAATAGGGTGGTGGACGAGTGGAACAAGCTTAGCAACTTTGTAGTAAGTGCT